CCCCCCCCCCTCCCAATCCCACCCCCCGGGTTCTATGTGATCAATTATGAAAGTACCCTTTGCTGTCTCGGAGTGGAAAGATGAACCGGATCATATATGAATCACGCGATCCAGACATGAGCAAGATAGTTTTGGATGACCTTCCAGGAGGGTCAGAGGCATTTGAGCTAGCCGCAAAGTTCTGCTATGGAATCGCGGTTGATCTAACAGCAACTAACATTTCTGGCCTAAGATGTGCAGCTGAGTATCTTGAAATGACAGAGGACTTAGAAGAAGGCAATCTCATATTCAAAACTGAAGCCTTTCTCAGTTATGTAGTTTTATCTTCATGGAGAGACTCAATTCTGGTGTTGAAAAGCTGTGAGAAGCTTTCACCATGGGCAGAAAATCTCCAAATTGTTAGAAGATGTAGTGAGTCTATTGCATGGAAAGCTTGTGCCAATCCAAAAGGGATAAGATGGCAATATACAGGAAAACCGCCGAAAGTTTCGAGCCCAAATTGGAATGAAAACTCAAGTCCAAGTAGGAACCAGCAAGTCCCTCCTGATTGGTGGTTTGAAGATGTTTCAATTCTTAGGATTGATCACTTTGTCAGGGTGATCACTGCAATAAAGGTGAAGGGGATGAGGTTCGAATTGATTGGGGCTGCAATAATGCATTATGCAGCAAAATGGCTCCCGGGTTTGATCAAAGAGGGCTCGGGGACAGGAGACGATGGCAGTAACAGCAGCAATAGTAATGGCAGTAGCAGTAGCTGGAAAGGGGGGCTGCATATGATCGTGGCGGGGACTAAAGATGATCCACCAACCGTTCAGGCGAAGGATCAGAGGATGATTATTGAAAGCCTGATAAGTATAATTCCTCCCCAGAAGGACAGTGTCTCTTGCAGCTTCCTTTTGAGGCTATTGAGAATGGCAAACATGTTGAAAGTAGCTCCAGCCTTGGTTACTGAATTGGAGAAACGAGTCGGAATGCAGTTTGAACAGGCCACATTGGCTGATCTTCTCATTCCTTCTTACAGCAAATCTGAGACTTTATATGATGTTGATCTTGTTCAGAGGCTTTTGGAACATTTTCTAGTTCAAGAACAGATGGAGTGTTCTAGTCCTAGCAGACAATCATTCTCTGATAAACACATGTATGATGGAGTCCAAAGGGGTACTAATCCGAATGCTAAGATGAGAGTGGCAAGGCTGGTTGATAGTTATCTTACAGAGGTATCCAGAGATAGAAACCTCTCCCTGACCAAATTTCAGGTCCTGGCTGAGGCTTTGCCCGAGTCTGCTAGAACGTGCGATGATGGATTGTATCGAGCAGTTGATTCCTATCTTAAGGTAATTCATATCTCATTTTCTAAATCGATTTAGCCCTATCGATTCTTCTTGTTGCAGGTTACAGCATAACTGAACAAGTCCCAATTTTGAAAAAAATCCAATGACCATCTGTCCTGGGTTCTACTGAACTGCACTTTTTTTCCCCTGAAGTGCTTAAAACAGAGTAATTAAACCCTAGCTGTATTGATTCTCTTGTTATATGTTGAAAGATGAAGATAATGGCGTCACCAGATTAATGCAGGTTACAACATTATAGAAACTATCTGCCAAGCACAATGCCTATGTTTGACTAAACCGTTTTCCCTCTAACTTGCTAACAACGTGAGCAATTAAACTCGGGTTATATGCAACTTTTTTTTTCTTTTTTTTTTTTTAGGGGAGGAGAACTTGAACCCTTAACCTTAAGAAGACAAAGTCTTTATGAGACAAAAAGTATCATTAAACCTAAGACCCATTGATAAGGTTATATGCAACTAAATCATGGATCTATTGTATAAATTGACAGGCTCATCCAACACTCTCGGAGCACGAAAGGAAGAGACTCTGCCGGGTGATGGATTGCCAGAAGCTCTCAATTGATGCCTGCATGCATGCTGCACAAAACGAACGACTTCCATTAAGAGTTGTAGTACAAGTTCTCTTCTCTGAACAGGTGAAAATCAGCAATGCCATTGCCAACAACTCCCTGAAAGAAGCTGGTGAGTCCCAGTACACTCCTATGGTGTCTAATCGCAAATCGCTACTCGAAGGCACACCACAGTCTTTCCAAGAGGGATGGGCAGCAGCTAAGAAGGACATCAACACTTTGAAATTTGAACTTGAAACTGTTAAGGCCAAGTACTTAGAGCTCCAAAATGATATGGAGACCTTACAGAGACAGTTTGAAAAGGTGACAAAACCTAAACAAGGATCAGCTTGGACCTCTGGGTGGAAAAAACTGAGCAAACTCACAAAAATGACAGCTTTGGATGCCCATGAAAATGGGTCTCAGATCCCAAATACAGAACAGACTAGGAAGACACCTAGAAGGTGGAGGAACTCCATTTCTTGAGAAATATGAAGGTGGAGGAGAGAGATTGACAAACAAACAGGAAAAGGTTGCATTTACATTTCAAGTCTCCAAATTTATTATTATTATTATTATTTTGGTGATTTTAGAGTATTTGGGGGGCTTTTGTTTTTCATTTATAGCAATTACTTGAACAAATAGCTTCTGGCTGTCCCCATCTTTTTTTTGTGCTTTGTGAGTGATGTCTTTGTAATTATTATCAATATTCAAGTCTGTTTGGTTTTTGGGTGAAAAAATATATGAGCGTTGAAATTTACCTAGTGAAGTACAAATTCTTTTTTTTAATTCGGTCAAAAGTAGGTTATCTATTTCAGGATTAAGGTATTCATGAAGGATAAAACTCTCATGACCTGGCCTCAAAAATTGTCCAAATTTAAATTCAAAATATATTAATTTATAACTCATTTATGACAACACTTGATCTACTATTTCATATTGCAAGTTTGTTGTTGACACAGTCATACTCATTCAATTTCATAAGTAATTGTCACAACAGGACAAGCCGGGCCTACTCAATTGATAGTCAATGGCCCATTAAGGACAGTGATCCGGAGTAGTCAAATTCTTGATTGAACAAGAGTCTTTTGGAAGTTAATCCTTTTTAATAAATTTATTAGCTACTATCTGTGTGCATGAAGACATATAGTAAAAAAAAATGATCAATAATAAATATATTTATATTTATATATAAAATTAAATCATAAATATAGAAAAAAAAAAGAATTTAAGCATCAATTATAATGAGAGTGAGCGATAATAGTGGTGGTAGGTGATAGTGGCAATGGTTGGGTAGCAACAGTGGCAATATCGATGGTGGTGGCAGTTGTGATGGTTGTGAGGGGTGGTGGTGAGGCGATATCGGGGGTAATGGTGATATGGGTGATGGTTGGATAATGGCAGTGGTGGTAGGGTGGAGTTGACGATTGTGGTGGTAATGGTGGTGGTCGGACGGTAGGTGTGGTGGCAATAGTAATGACGACAATGGTGATTATTTTGACAGAAGCGGTGGTGAGGTGACGGTGGTAGGAAAGTGACAGGGGTGGTAAGGTGGTGGGTGTGGAGATGGTGGTGTTTGGGCAGTTGTGGTCGGGCGGGTGGCAATGATGGTGGTGGTGGTGGTGGGATGGCAACAGTGGTGATCGTAAGAGGTGATATGATGATGATATCAATAGTGGTATTAAAAGGCGGAGGGTGGTAGTAATGGTGATAGTGGTGGTGGTGGTGGCAGGGGTGGTGATATTAGTGGTGGTATGGGGTTGGGTGGGGTGGGGTGACGTGGTGGTGGTGGTAATGGTAATGGTGGTGGTAGTAGTGATGGTGGTGCAGCGATGAGGTGATAGTGGTAATGGTGATGGTGGAATGGTTTTAAACACTACTTTTTTTTTTTTTTAGTATTTATGAGAAATTTAAAAAGTCACCTCAAACACATTCTTAGAGGCATATTTTACCAATTAAATTTAGAGTGTTAATATTAGCCGTCGAATTAACTTTAAAGTAAAATTGAAAGAGATTTCAATCGCGAATAACAAAAGTCATTTTGTTTATATTTTGGGATTTGAATTGTATTGTATTTTATTATATAGATTTGAACTTAAGTTCAATTAAAAAACTTATTTCAAAATAACTTCATTTTAATATCTATTATTCAAAACACCCTCAATAATTATATTTAATGAAATCTTATTTGAAAAAACTAATAACTCTTAAATTGAGAATTGTATTAATATTAACAACTCTTAAATACGGAATTGTACTAACATTAAAATTATTTTTCTATCATATATATAGTAACATTAAATGGTATTATTCTCAACAAAAAAACTAGTAACATCAAACAGTAACATGTTAAAAAAAATAATAACATGCTCAACAAAATAATAGTAATACCAAACAGTAACATGTTCAATAAAAAATTTAATTAAAAATATAATTATTACAATAGAGTGACACCATAAATGAGTACTTATTTTATTCTGGGCAAGACAATAGTTTTAAGGACTTACGTATAGATAGATATGATAGGAAAATAATTTTAATGCTAACACAATTTTCAAGTTAAGAGTTGTTACATTTGAAAACATTGAAACTAACANTAAGGACTTACGTATAGATAGATATGATAGGAAAATAATTTTAATGCTAACACAAATTTCAAGTTAAGAGTTGTTATATTTGAAAACATTGAAACTAACAATGATAAACAATATTTATGTTAGCGGTAATGAGATAATACAAAAAAAAAAAAATTTGAAATGTGTACTTATTACAATAATTTAAAAAAAAAAAGACTTAATGGAATATAAGTATGAATGTGGTACTTNTTTTCAAGTTAAGAGTTGTTACATTTGAAAACATTGAAACTAACAATGATAAACAATATTTATGTTAGAGGTAATTAGATAATACAAAAAAAAAAAAAAAATTTGAAATGTGTACTTATTACAATAATTTAAAAAAAAAAAGACTTAATGGAATATAAGTATGAATGTGGTACTTAAAGCCAAATAAATTCTAAAAATGATACCAATCGGTTTGGTCAAGCTAGTGTATCTCATAATTTATAGAGTAATTTAGAAGCCAGTACAAAAATTTAGACTTATTTAAATTAAATTACATTAAGAAAATTTATTTGGCCATAAGTGTATTTTTTTGAAAAAAAAAGGCTAAAAGGGGTATTTACTACTTCATTCCTCTCTCTCCTTCTCNCCGGTTTGGTCAAGCTAGTGTATCTCATAATTTATAGAGTAATTTAGAAGTCAGTACAAAAATTTAGACTTATTTAAATTAAATTACATTAAGAAAATTTATTTGGCCATAAGTGTATTTTTTTGAAAAAAAAAAGGCTAAAAGGGGTATTTACTACTTCATTCCTCTCTCTCCTTCTCTCTCTCTCCACTACTCTTTCACTCTTTCTTCCTTGATTTCTCTCTATCTATTTCTTTTTCTCTTTCTCTCATATTGATAATTTTTTTTAAATATGTAAAAATTTGATTTAATTTTTTCATCTCTCTCTTCCCCTATTTTTTTCTATCTCCCCTTATTTGCTTATTCTCTCCCTTTTTCTCTCTCCTTATATTAATGTTACACAACACAATTACACTAATAAGTTACACAAATTAGTTACAATTATCCTATAATACACTAAATAGTTACTCATGTATTCTAATAAAACCAAACAATTACACTAAACAATTATATGAAATTACAACATCAATCAAATTTATCATTTTGTTATTTACATAAATCAAAGAGTTACACCATTTAATATTACAACATGGTTACACCAAATATATACACCAAATTGAATTTATCATTATACAAAAAAATTTATCATTATACTAAATTTGATATATATGATTAGTGTAATGATGTCATGATACTAAAAAGTACAATTATTTAGTTTATGTAAACAATTGAATGACAAACTGAGTTGGTGTTATAAATTTGTGTNAATTTATCATTTTGTTATTTACATAAATCAAAGAGTTACACCATTTAATATTACAATATGGTTACACCAAATATATACACCAAATTGAATTTATCATTATACAAAAAATTTTATCATTATACTAAATTTGATATATATGATTAGTGTAATGATGTCATGATACTAAAAAGTACAACTATTTAGTTTATGTAAACAATTGAATGACAAACTGAGTTGGTGTTATAAATTTGTGTAATTGTTTGGTGTAACTGTTTGATTTATTAGAATGCATGAGTAACTATTTAGTGTATTATAAGACAATTGTAACTGATTAGTGTAATTATGTTATTGTAATATTGATATAAATAGAGAGAGAAAGAAATAGACAAAATAGGTAGAGAGAGAGAGAGAAATGGTTACAGAAAATAGGAGAGAGATGGAAAAATAAATCAAATCTTTAAATATTTGAAAAGAAAATAAATTATCAATGATAGATATAGAGAGAAAATAGAGGAGAGATAGTGAGAGAATCTAATGAAATATTTACATATTTGAGTAGATANGTTGTAATATTGATATAAATAGAGAGAGAAAGAAATAGACAAAATAGGGAGAGAGAGAGAGAGAGAGAAATGGTTACAGAAAATAGGAGAGAGATGAAAAAATAAATCAAATCTTTAAATATTTGAAAAGAAAATAAATTATCAATGATAGATATAGAGAGAAAATAGAGGAGAGATAGTGAGAGAATCTAATGAAATATTTACATATTTGAGTAGATATATAACTGTCAATCAAAAATACATAGTTTAAGATATGATACTTAGCTAAAATAGTTTTGATTTTATTTGAATTTTGTACCTAGACACAATATATTTTATTAAAATTGAACTTAATAGAATAAATAACTTATTCATATACTTTTCTTTAAATAAATTTAAAAAATTGTACTTACAGTCAAAAAAAAAAATCCAATTTTATAGCCAGAGCTACGTGTCGGTCCTAATGGGCCTATTTTACCAAATGGGATTTGTTCTCGAACTTCATCGGGCTAATGGGCCATACCGAGGGTATACCTGATGTGCTGCCTTCTCAGGGCAAAATCAAACCAAAATGTTATGCATAGCGGACAAATAATTGTGGCCCATTATCCTACCCACTGACTATTGGACCACCACGGCTGCCAAATGGTGGGCCAGCCCGTGGACAGAAAACATATCGAACAGGCAAGAAAAAGATGAAAGGTGAGAGAGAGTTGCCACATTGCAATGAGCATACTTCACAAATACCGATTTATCACATTACTCTTTCTTACCGAGTACAATAGTGGACTTTCTATGAATATATATTCAAANCGATGTGCTGCCTTCTCGGGGCAAAATCAATCCAAAATGTTATGCATAGCGGACCACCACGGCTGCCAAATGGTGGGCCAGCCCGTGGACAGAAACCATATCGAACAGGGAAGAAAAAGATGAAAGGTGAGAGAGAGTTGCCACATTGCAATGAGCATACTTCACAAATACCGATTTACCACATTACTCTTTCTTACCGAGTACAATAGTGGACTTTCTATGAATATATATTCAAACCACTTTGAGTCTTTTTTTTTTTTTCATGAATATTCTCCTTTTTGTCACTAATATGATAGTTTAAATGGTCCGATTACGGTACCGAAATACAAGTCGACGGTCCAAACTAAATTTAAACAGAATATCTATGTATTACATTAACCCTACCCTAGTTTATCTCATATTACAGTTAAAACATTGAATTTTCAATTTATAAAAGTATAACCATGGTTAAAATTGATCCAGTAATATAAAATTTATCCAAATTTCTTTTTCTAGC